AAAAAAAAAAAAAAAGAAAGAAAAATAAAACAGATGTACACTGAGTAGGACAGCCTGGGAATTCCATCCATCCCGCAGTAGCAACCATTGGGATGGTCCCAGGCATTTCTCATCATCAGCAAAGTCCTCGAACACCTTGGTGCCTGCATTTCCCGTCTTTTGGGCAGTTCCTTAAATCCTCAAAGGCCTTGTACACCCCTAAAAGGAACTGGAGTTCCCGCTAGATCCCCTAAGGGACCTTCGAGTCTTTTGCAGTCATGATCTCTGCTCACTGCACTCTCTGCCTCCCGGGCTCAAGCGATTCTCCTGCCTCAGTCTCCTGAGTAGCTGAGAGTACAGGTGTGCGCCACTATGCCCGGCTGACTTTTGCATTTTTAGTAGAGACGAGGTTCGGCCATGATGGCCAGGCTGGTCTCAAACTCCTGACCTTGTGATCCACCCGCCTCGGCCTCCCAGAGTGCTGGAACTACAGGCGTAAGTCACCGCGCCCGGCCGAGTCTTTCATTCCATAGTCAGTTCCATGGCTGCACGGTGTCCTCACACACTCTCCCACCCCTTGGTGGCCTGCTGATTCTTCTGGAAACAATCCTAGGGTCCTGTTACCTCTCTGTTCCAGAAGAAAGGCCCCCCAGATTCCTTTATCATGGTGGTCCAGTTCTGCGGCTGGGAGGTGCACATTGCCGACTTGGCCGTCAGGGAATAGGAGTACGAAAACTGCCCGTTCACCTCCAGTAACACATACTCGGCATCGACGACCTCCTGGAAACGGTCTTGTTTCCACCTAGGACACAGGCACGGGGCAGGGCTGCGCGGGGAGCAAGGACAACCCAGAGAAAGACCTGGGCCACAGCCACCTGGACGGCTGCAAAACCGCTTGGGGGGTGGGAGGTGACAGAGAGCAGAGCGAAGGATGCCTGCCGCTCCCAGGTGAGGATGTCATGTGCAGGCTGCAGGGAGGCCAGGAGACAGAGCTGGGTGGATGGGGAGATGGGTAGCAGCCAGCACTGAGTATTGATAACAGGGAGGAAAGAAAAGTCTGCTTGGGGGCCAGACGCGGCGGCTCACGCCTGTAATCCCAGCACTTTGGGAGGCCAAGGCAGGCGGATCCCCTGAGCTCAAGAGTTCAAGACCAGCCTGGGCAACATGGCAAAACCCCGTCTCTACTGAAAATACAAAAATTAGCCTGGCACAGTGGTGCG